ACTAGGCCTGTCACAATAAACAATAAATCAATTAATCACATGATAAATGAAAATTATCAACCTCATTTTCATTTATCGGCTTTATCGTTTCTTCATGTCTCTCTCTTTCTACCGAAGACACTGGATGACAAAAGGCTCAACTCTGGCGCTCTTCACTGACCCCTCCCTTTCTCTTTAAAATCCATTTTAAACATCCAAAATCACATTTTTGGATTGTTAAAAGCAGCTAAGATGAGAGCTAAGCTAAAAAGCCGACCTCAGGAAAAAAACTCCGTCTTGTCAAAGCTCCAGAATTCACGGTTGAAACCCGTGCCTTCATCTAAAAAGTTTTTTTTTTCTACAAAAAGAAGCTGAGAACTTGTTTACTGATTTTTTTTAATTAAAAACTTTGTGTAAAAAATGCTATGCTAAAGAGCTCAAACCACACCGAGCTTCTGACATTTTTCACAGCCCATGTCACGTCAAGGGGCCTCCCTCTCATTTTTCTTAAAGAGACACGCTGCTTTCTCCCTCACTATCCATCCTTCATTTCAAACAGTCTTATAATGCCATCTGGTGGTCAAAAAAAGTTACTACACTCTAACCAAATTAACCAACATTTCTTCTTAAATTTGACAATAACTACAAATTATTGTCAAATTTCAAACAACATTATCATTTATCACAATAATTTCTGAGACAATTAATCACCCTGCAAAATTTGTTATCGTGACAGGCCTAACTAACTTACTACTTGGACTACTATTCCTACTTCGCAGTTTTTTTACTTATCGCGGGGCTTCAGGGTACGGATCCCCCGCGATAAACGAGGGAATACTGTATTCTAGTTTTGACCGTATTGTGGGCATGGCTGATAAGTTTATAAGATGAGAGAAAGGCTAGAAAACAAAATCACAAATTTGAGTCTCTCTTAGATTTTCTTTGGTTTTATTTTTCCAGTCTTGGCTAAGTGTTGACATTTATTTATACTTTTACTTGTAAACCAAAATTACCCTTAACCCCCATCATCTGCTCCCCCGGGCGTCCTAGATATCAGCTCTCTGCTCCACACAGAGGGCTGTGGTAGCTCGGTGGTCTGTGGTTGTGTCAGGAAGGACATCCGGTGTAAAAATAATTGCCAAGTCGATAAGACTTTGTTCACTGTGGTGACCTCTGAAGACGGGAGAAGACGAAAGAAGTTGTTTTTTTCATATTTACCATTTATGTTTAGGGATTTAAAGTTAACGTTGCAACAAAATGGTCTCAGTAAAAAAACGTTCTATTTTTATTTTTGTAAATAAGAGCTTGGCAAATGTCAAAAATGTAGATTTAAATATACATTTTAAATATACATGTTTATTGAAATAAATAAATCACACTGGTAATATTTACTAGAATGCTGCAATGTCTGCTTAGAAATAAAATCTTAACTTTGAGCAAGTTTAATCTACAACAAAAATTTGTTTCAAACTGTATACAGTATTAACAATGTGAGGCATTGATATTTGGCTGTAACAGTTTTTCTGACTGTTTGCTGCAGATTGTTTCTCTTTTTACTGCTGAAAATCTCTGTTGTTCCTTCTTTGTAAGTCAAGGCTAAGGATAAAAACAGAGCTATCAGCTCAGTTCAGCTCATCCTTTAATCCTAGTCTCCTGACTCGTGTCTGCTCGTTTGCTCCTTTAGGAAGGTGTTCTTCACAGACTATGGTCAGATCCCTAAGGTGGAGCGCTGTGACATGGATGGCCAGAACCGAACCAAACTTGTTGACAGCAAGATCGTGTTCCCACACGGCATCACCCTGGACCTCGTCAGCCGCCTGGTGTACTGGGCCGACGCCTACCTGGACTACATTGAGGTGGTGGACTATGAAGGCAAGAACAGGCACACGGTCATCCAAGGCCTGCTGGTGAGAAAAGATCTGTTTGCTCTTCATAATGAGAGGAAGCGCTTCCTGAGCATCCCTTAGAGCTCCTCATACACCTATAATGTCTCTTATGTTACCCTCGTGTCCTTCTTTGCTGCGTTCTTCGTCAGTGAGTTATGGGCAGTGAGAGAGTGGTGGACATTTGCGTTTTCATTAAACGAGCTGATAAATGGTGTCCAATACCGGGGCTGTTAATGTAGCAGCTCTGGTGATGCACAGCAGCTCTTAAACCTGTTACCAAGGCTTTTAGTGTGATCTGTGGGGAAGTAACAGCTTTCTTTTACTCGTTGGGCCAAAGGGCAGGCGCACACACAAACACACACACACACACACACACCGTTTTCTTGCTTTCTGTGTGTAATAGGCTATTAGAGCATTCTCATTCATCACATGCAGATAAAACAGTGTTGGAGTGGTTTACTAAAGCATATTGAACTCTACGAGGACAAAAGATTAATACTTTCAGCGACATATATAATGAATTAAATGCATTTTTCCAGTTAGTCTTGTCAGCCTTGATTAGATTTGTGAATGAACAGGTGCATCTCAAGAATATAGAATTGTGAAAAAGTTCAATATTTTTGTCAATAATTTCAGAGAGTGAAACTCATATTACATAGATTCATAACACATAGAGTTGAAGCCTTTGTTTTTTTGTGTGTGTAATTTTTGACGATTATGGCTTACGAATAATGGAAAACCAAAATTGAAAATCAAAAAATATAACTTTTTCATACTGTTCTAATGTTTCGAGATGCACCTGTAGTCGATCTGATGCTCCGTCATATTTCAGGCTGTCTGATGTGTTGTTCAGCTTCTGTATCAGATCAAAACAGAACGGGTCTCTGTTTCTATAAATCTATAAATCTCAGATCACCACATGTTCTTCTCAGGTCTCACATTTTTAAAATGCTCGTTTTGTCACAACTTTTATGGACGCTGACTCTTAAATTTGTCTCCTCAGGGAAAGGAAAGCCCTTTTTTAATTAAAATATAACTTTGTCCATTAATTCTGACTTTGCTAACCCGAATAAATTGGTAAAATTTTTTAAAAAAGGCAGTTTGAGTGAGTAAGTCTTCAGATTGTTCATTGTGGCACCTCATATACTTACAGGCTGTTTAACCTCTGCTCTTTATTTGTGCACATGTTTTTTTGGACATCAAATAACCATGACAACCCTACTAACCTTTTATACAACAATATTCACCAACACCAAGTTGCTAAAAACAAAAACCGCTCAAACAATCCAAAAAACTGTGTCACTTAGTTTTCTCCCCCAATGCAGAAAACAATTTGAAGAGAAAAATAAAGAATAATTTGAAATGATAAAAACGATGGACTAATCGAAGTTACATTTTCACCTAAGTAATAACAGTGTTCAGTTTTCAGAAGATTTTTGTTCTTTCAAAGTTCAAAACAAAGGTGAATAATTTTTTACTGAATTTGATCAGATTACATACGAAGGCAACACTGCTGTGTTTCTGATTGGACTTCTTGTCATGATCAGAAAATATATCAGTGTCTGAGAAACTCAATTATTTGTTCATCCGGTCCTTTAAAAGGCTTCATAAGCAACCTCAAGGTCAAATATGTGCAAATATAGGCTTAGGTCTCAGCAAACAAATTTAATTGCAGCTTGTCAGGAAGTGTAGTTGAAGATTGAATAACTTTTTAGAGAGAGTTAGAAGTCGTTTAACTACATGATATTAAGCTAAATGTGCCGCTGAGCAGGCCCATCCACATCCAGAAAACAAAATAAGAAGAGGGAACAACTGGGGGGAGGAAAACACAAACCAAACTAGATGAATGTTCTGGAGGAGAACAAAGGGAACAGATAAGTGACAATCAGAACCACAATTTATTATGTTTTGTTGTTTATCTGTCATATGCAAGTTATCACAAGGTCAGCAATGCAATGAAATGTCCAGGATGAAGAGAACCGATTTGACTTGCTAAAAACAAAAAAACAAACAACGGTGCAAGTAGGATGAATTTGTATAAATAAATATTTCACAGGCGACAATATAAGCTTAAAAGCACATAATATATATTGCACATAATTAACATATACTATACAGGTTGTGTGACAGGTTATTGCAAAGAAATAATCTGTTTGATTAGTTTAGTCAGGGTTTAGAGCTCATCATAGGACTGAATCTGCACTGGTGAAAGTTACTAATGATATTCACATGGCCTCTGACAACGGACAGGTGTCTACACTGGTCCTGTTAGACCTCAGTGCTGCATTTGATACAGTTGATTTTAATATTCTATTACAGAAACTTGAATACGATATTGGGATTACAGGAATGTCTCTGAATTGGTATTTATCTGATAGATTCCAATTTGTAAATGTAAATAATGAATCTTTGTCATACACCAAAGTTAGTCATGGAGTTCCTCAGGGTTCAGTGCTTGGACCAATACTCTTTACCTTATATATGTTTCCATTAGGTAAAGTTATTAAACAGCATGGGATAAATGTTCAATGTTATGTTGATGATACACAGTTATATTTATCCATGAAACCCAATGAATCCAGTCAGCTACTTAGACTATGTCTTATGTCTTAAAGACATAAAAACCTGGATGACCCTAATTTTTTTTTGTCTTTTAAACTCAGGACAGAAGTTTTGGTTTTTGGACCTGAGCATCTTAGGAAATACAGACAGAATGAAAAATTAAACAACTTTTAACAGAAACCAGGTTTTTCCTAAATAAAACATCAATACAAATTTAAATAATAAATGAGTTCACAGAACAAAGGCCATCACTGAGCTACACCTACAGCAGTTTAATAAAAACTAAGATTATTTTTGAGGATTTCATTCGATACCATCAAAGTTTTTAAATATATTTTATTATTTCTTTCTCAGATTGAGCATTTGTATGGGCTGACTGTGTTTGAAAACTATCTGTACGCCACCAACTCCGACAACGCCAACATGCAGCCAAAGACCAGCGTGATCAGGATCAACCGCTTCAACAGCACCGACTACCAGGTCGTGACCCGAGTGGACAAAGGAGGAGCGTTGCACGTCTACCACCAGAGACGCCAGCCTCAAGGTGGATGAACTCTCACACACGCTCATTGTCTGCAGCAGAAGGTATTCGTGTTTCTGCCTGGGAGATTTCATTGTCCCCCACCTCTTGGTTTCCAGTGCGTAGCCATGCGTGTGAAGAGGACCAGTTTGGGAAGCCTGGAGGCTGCTCTGACATCTGTCTTCTAGGTAACGGACACAAGACCCGGACGTGTCGCTGTCGTTCTGGATTTAGTCTGGGCAGTGATGGCAAGTCCTGCAAAAGTGAGTAGGACTGCTGTTCGTTTAACTTTGTTATATTTAAAAGCTTTTTTTGAAATAGCTCACACACACATCTAAAGCTGGGCTGCTGTAACTTGATGGTTGTGTAATCCTGAGGCTGCAGCTTTGAGCCCAAGTTACGTCAGGAAGGACATTTGGCGTTAAACGATGGTCAAATCTATCAAGTGAGTCCGCTCGTTGAAGCGACCCCTGCAGAAGGAAACAGCCGAAAGAGAAAACATATACCCATCTAAAGATACACTAAGGAGCATGTTTAGCTACTATTCGTGAGGCTAATGGCTGATACTTATGGTTTTATATTTAATAAAAATAAAAAAAGATATATTTGTTTTCACAAGAAAGCCAATGGTTGTTAGTCATTTTTGAGCTATGGTGATTTATTTTGTTTCCCTACATGGCTATTAGTTTTAGTTAATTTTTACTAAATTATACCTGAGCAGTACAACTCCTGACTACAACAAAACGTTTCTGCTTGGCTCCCTAAATCTTGTTTCTTGTCCTCTTTTGTAAGAATCTCTTCTACAGACGCTTGTTGATCAAATTATTTGAAAGTTTAACAAACAGAAGTTATTTCAGTGAAATTAAATACTGACATATGTATCTCACATATTTGCTAAACCTTTAAAAAATAACAAACAGGAAGGTAACTAACAGATAATTGTAATAAGATCTAATAAAATCTAAGATCATTCTGGACATTTTTTTGAATGTCCAGAGGACCAGATTGAACTTTTTTAGATTTTTCTACCTGGATTATTGAGCATGCATCAGGGTAACAAATAAGAGTTTAAAAAAGAAGGAATATTCAAAAACAGTCAATTTTTGGTAGAAATTGATAATTTTAAATGGGACAGAAGCTGAAGCTCGTAGCATGAAAACAAAATAAGGCAGTTCTTTCAACGTTTTATTTTTAATATATACTTTGTACATGTATTTGTGACCTGGGCTTTAGCTTAGCTTAGTTTGTGTCATTTCAGTTCATTTAGTTGCACAATAAAGTTATAAAAATGTAGGAAAACACAATGAACAAAAATAGCTAAATGTGCAAGTGGATCACTAAAACATAATAAAAGTAGATACATAAGTCATGAACACAAATATAAAATACAACGATGCAACATTCAAGCATAGCTAAACAATTAAGGGCTCATGAAAGTAAACATGATGTTTGATGGACATTAGATTTACTGGCATGGAAAGTGAATAAGAGCATTGTTGTTGGATAAATAAACATATAAATCTTAACAATCTGATCTCACAATCATCAGTTCATAAATCTTCTTTTCATTTTTCAAACACGAGCTCAGATTGATGCCGTTTGAGCAACGCAGCTGGTGTTGATGATGTCAGTAAGTGTAGGAATAAAAAGAATGTTGGAACAACTTCACCGCCACGTCGACTCGGCAGATCCAGATCTGGTGTGCACAGATTTAAAGCTGGGAGCCAGAGTGAGTCAACATTCTTAACCCGAGGCCAAGAACAGTAAAGATCTGAGTAAAGATGCCGATCTCTCATGGGCTGTAGGGTGTGAACAAGCTTTCTCCATAACCCCCGGATCTGCACAGTCTGAGAGCTTCCAGCCTGATTCAGCTCATTTTTATCTACCATTAACAGCATTATATTGATCTGCCTGCTGAGGCGAGGTAATCCCACTACTCAATATACTCCCTCTTCATCGCCATTAAAAAAATACTCACTTTTCATTTAGGGATTTGTTTTAGTTTGCATTTCTTAATTTGTTTACATATTAGTACATATTATTTGACAGGAAGAAAAAGCTTCAGTAAATAAGTCAAAATCTTCTTTTACATTGACATTTAATCCAAGGTCAAGTGGGAAACATTTCCGGGTTTGTTGTTTTGTGAAGATGCAGTTTAAGTCTTAAGGCCTTGTTTATCCTGTTTTGCTGCAGAACCCGAGCACGAGCTCTTCCTGGTCTATGGTAAAGGACGTCCAGGCGTCATCAGAGGCATGGACATGAACGCCAAGGTCCCGGACGAGTACATGATCCCCATCGAGAATCTGATGAACCCCAGAGCTCTCGACTTTCACGCCGAGAGCGAATTCATTTATTTCGCCGACGCCACCAGCTACATCATTGGCCGACAGAAGATTGATGGAACGGAGAGGGATACTATTCTGAAGGAAGGTAGAGTGACGACAGAAGATCGGGGAGAGAACTGAGCTTCCAACAAATTAGATTAGGATGAAATACATATTTATGAGACTAGCTTGTTTTTGTAAACCTGTAAAATGACTTGTGGAGACATAAAAATACAGTAGTCCCTCGATGATCGCAGGGGTTACATTCCGGACCCCCAGCAATAAGTGAAAAACCGCGAAGTAGAATTTATTTTAGTACTTATATTAATTTTAATGCTTTATAAACCCTTCCCACACTCTTACATAGTTCTAAACTCTTAAACCTACATAATTTTAACATACGTATATGTAATGTATAGTATTGCAATATTTTATATGGGTACTCACCAACCTTGGTCCGGTTTTAGTCGGGTTCTGATCGGCTCTCTGTAGCCATTGAACACCAGATGCTTTTGAAGCGAGCCGGACCTTCAGAGAGCCAGCACAAAACCACACAATGGTCCAGATAGAGTCCAAATAATCCAGAGGGATCTGGATGAAAAAAGTGCGGGTGAGCTCCAGAGAAGACATCGGGCCTCCAAGCAACACATCCCCGCTTGAGAGGCTTCATGGGCAAGCAGCACTCAGATTGACAGATAAGGCTGGAAGTAGCCTTGGTCCGGTTCTGGTCAGTTCTGATCGGCTCTCTGCATCCACTGAGCACTGAAGTCACTATGAATAAGGACCAAACTTTTTAGTCAGGTTTGGATCAAATCAAAACTTTCCCTCCATTTCAGCAAAAAGCAGCGACCGGACGCACTGTTGACTTCTAGGTAATGTAGTTCTTGTGGACTGGCGATACCGTATAGGCTTATTGAAAAAAAATAATAATTACGAAATGGCGGCACCTGTCCAAAGTTTTTTTTGGGTAACTTTGTAGCTATACCGTCCAGATCAAATGGAATATTAAAGTTGACAATCGTTGAAAAAAACGCGAAAGTCAAACCGCGAAGTAGCGAGGGACTACTGTATATCGATTAACGTGATACATGAAGAGTATTTTAATAAAATATCCTGGATTAACAACAAAGGCAGCTGTCCTTCTTTAATGTATGTGTCAACACAAGTCTCCTTTTGTCTCAGGGATCCACACAGTGGAAGGAATTGCTGTGGACTGGATGGCAAACAACTTGTACTGGACAGATGATGGGCCCAAGAAAACGATCAGCGTGGCTCGGCTGGAAAAGGCTTCACAGACCCGCAAAACACTCATTGAAGGGAAGATGACTCATCCTCGTGCCATTGTGGTGGATCCTCTTCACGGGTAAGGGTAGACAACAAGATGAGGTGGGCGGGCTGGAGTTTAGTGATTTTATTCTTTAGAAAGAAAATCATTGCATAGCTGCAGTTATTTAATCTTGTCATCTGTTTGATTCCACTGAAATATATTGTGGCGTGTGTCAAACACACCAATCTGCAAAAGCTTTTTTAAAAAAAATTCGTGTTACTTTTGCACCAAATTGTTTGTTGTCAGATCTCTATAATACCCCTCAGAGCCTTTTTTTTTTATCACTTTCCAGTTACCATTTTCCACTGTGTTCTTTTTGAAATTTATGAAAACACATGTTGCGTGTGATGCATAGTCTGGTGGATTTTCTCGAGCAGCCGATTCACACGCAGACAAATATGAGATTCACAATTTCATATATAATTCATTCTAACTGTATGGATGTGTCTTATTGATAAGACCTCCCTGGCTCTTGTTTGTGAAACATACGCTTGTGAACACACAAACTGTATATCCACACACACACGTTGGACTGCTAGTGACAGCATGATGTGTGTCCACACACTTCCCAGGAGAAAGGCACTCGCTTCCACTAATGCTCATAATCAATCAGGCTCAGAGCGACAAAGGGGGGAAGGGGGGGGGTTGGACAAAAGAAAGAAGGAGAAGGAGACCATAAAATGAAATGTTAATGGTAACATCAGCTCTGTTCCCATGAGGAGGAGTGTTTCTAGATCTGTGTAATTGTATGCCCTCTGTGTTCATGGACTTTACGTAGATCACTGGTTTGATTGACAAGTCCTAAATTACTTTGTGACAGCACGCGCCTGTGGCCACGCTGCTCTGATGAGTATCGGCTGCTTCAGGACAGCAACGTAAAATGTCAAAACCTTCATTAACTCTTTAAAACGCCCAAAGAAAATTTCAGTTTTCCTTTAGTAAAATATTCCAGTGACAGTTCCCGTTTTTCAGGTGGCTGTATTGGACAGACTGGGAGGAGGATCCGAAGGAGAGCAAGCGAGGCAAAATTGAGCGGGCCTGGATGGATGGCTCCAACAGAAATGTCTTCCTGAGCAGCAAAACGGTGTTGTGGCCCAACGGACTCAGCCTGGACATCCCACAGGGCATTCTCTACTGGGTGGATGCTTACTACGACCGCATCGAGATGGTCCACCTCAACAGCTCCGGGCGCAAGGTCAGCCCCGTCAATCTTGAGAATATTTTTGCAGAGAGGGTTTACTTTATAACTTGCTGTTTAATCTAAATATTAGCACACAATCTTTCTTCATCACATAGTTTAAGTCTTTTAAACTTGTTTAGTTTGGAAATGACTGTGTAAGTGGTGGATGCTAGCCAAAATAAATACATATTATGTTGTGGAGGGGAAAAAGGAGGTCATCTTTGTTTTTGTTTTTTTTTTCACTGTGAATTGTTACGAGCAAACATTGAGGTGAACTTCTGGGGGCAATAAAACGACACCAGAAACAGTTGCACTCTCTTGTAAAAATATAATTGCCCATTTGGCTGCTTTTCTGACATCACCAGACGGTGTATGAAGGTCAGGAGCTGAACCACGCCTTTGGTCTGTGCCACTATAAACACTTCTTGTTCTGGAACGAGTACCGCAGCGGCAGCATTTACAAGCTGGACACTACTACAGGCACTGCCACACTGCTGCGCAACGAGCGGCCGCCCATCTTTGAAATCCGGATGTTCGACGCTCAACAGCAGCAAGGTTCTGGGCAGGACGTCCTGTAAAACATTCCTCTGTATTTCAGAAGTTGGAGTTGTTACAGCTCACATGTGTTCTTCCATCGTCAGGCTCTAACGCATGCCGTGTGTCTAACGGTGGCTGCAGCAGTCTGTGTCTGGCCATACCAAGAGGTCGGCAGTGTGCTTGTGCAGAGGACCAGGTACTAGACCCGACTGACAACACCAGCTGCAAAGGTAAAAATGTAAAAGATCAAGGTTCAAGGTGACTTTATTGTCATTCGAATCACATGTGGTACATGAGGTGGAACGAAGTTGTGTACTCAAGGTCCCAGTTGCAGCCAACAAAAGTATAAAATGTAAAGTATGAAAAAGAAACAGTATACAAGGATCTAAGATATCCACTAAACAATAATAATGTAATATAATATGGTGTATTAAACAGCAGCCTGAACATGAGTCTGTTGTGATAAGATGGGTATGAATACAGCAGCTTAAGCTAAGAAATCAGCATCACAGGTAAAGTGATAAATCTACAATTAAAGTGGCATTACAGTGATTTTTCTGGTTAGGGATTGATGTGTCTAACAGCTTCAAGGTAGAAGCTGTTCCTCAGTCTAGTGGTTCTACACTTAATAATCCTCAACCTCCTGCCTAAGGGGAGCAGGGCAAAAAGTGTGTGTGCTGGGTGAGTGGGGTCCTTCATGATGCAGGTGGCCCTCTTCCTGCATCTGGAGGTGTAGATGGCTGTGATGGTGGGGAGGCTGACTCCAACAGTCTTCTGTGCAGCCTTCACCACTCTCTGCAAAGCTTTTCTATCTCCAGCTGTGCAGACTCCATGCCACACGTTGATGCTGGAGCACTGGATGCTCTCCACTGCACACCTGTAGAAGGAGGTGAGGACTGAGCTTCCCAGACCAGCTCGCCTCAGTCACCTGAGGAAGTAGAGTCGCTGATGTGCTTTCTTGATCAGACTGGTAGTGTTGTTGCCCGAGCTGAGGTGCACACCCAAGTACTTGTAAATGGAGACCACTTCCACCACAGATCCTCCTATGTGCGGGGGTGGGGGAGGGGAAAAGTGTGTTTGCTTTTTCTGAAATCTATAATCATCTCTTTCGTCTTCTTCACATCAATGTAGAGGTTGTTCTTCCTGCACCAGGTCTCCAGGTGTTCCACCTCCTGCATGTAGCCAGACTCATCATTGTTTGTGATGCATCCAACCAACCACCACTGTATCATCTTTACACTATGATAACCTGGATGGGTAGTTGCACAGTCATATGTGAGCAAAGTGAACAGGAGGGGGCTCAACACACAGCCCTGAGGGGAGCCAGTGCTGAGGATTATGGTGGATGAGAAGTTGTGAACCCTCACAGACTGCGGTTTGTTGGTTAGGAAATCCAAGACCCAGTTGCATAGGGAGGAGCTTAATCCTAGTGTGAGTAGTTTTTCCATCAAGGTCTAGGGAATCAGGATGTTGAAGGTGAATGTGAAGTCCACAAAAAGCATATGGACGAAGCAGTCCTTCTGCTCCAGGTAGGTGAGAGCAGTGTGAACCACAGAGGAGATGGCATATTCTGTTGATTGTTCCTTGCAGTATGCATACTGCTGTGGGTCCTTCCTTCCCCGATAGCTGATTTCAGTCCGCCCAGAGAAGCAGGCTGTTGTCCAGCTGGAAGGCTGAGTCAGGCATGGTGTTGTTAAGCCATGTTTCCATGAGACAGCATACAGCACAGTTCCTCATCTTCTCTAAAACACTCACTCTTAGCCGCAGAAGATCTAGCTTGTTTTCAAAAGAGCAGACATTGGCCAGGTTCAGGGTTGGAATCGGTGGTCTGTTAGCATTAGCCTTTAGTCTCCCTAATACTCCGCCTCGTTTTCCACACATCGCTTCTTTTCCGCCTTAATGCGCTGCTCCCTCCACGCTGATGTCCATAGGACATAAAATATCTAATTGACGTTGTGTTTATAACTCTAATCTTCATATAAGCATTTTTCTCAAACCCTTTAATTTGATTTGGCTGCAAAATTTCTAACTTACACCCTGGTTCTGTTTACATCCTTTTATAATTCTCCTTCCCAGCCAACCCATCTTACATCCCACCTCCTCAGTGCCAGCCAGGAGAGTTTGCGTGTAAGAACAGCCGGTGCATCCAGGAGCGCTGGAAGTGTGATGGAGACAACGACTGTCTGGACAGCAGCGACGAGGCTCCTGAGCTGTGCCGTGAGTTACCGAGCATCCATGGTCACTACATCTAAAACGTTTGGTTGCTACCAGCTCATATGGTGGCCTGCAAAGGCAGGGGGAAGAGCTGGAATGTGATCAAAGCTTTTCTGCACGCACAATCTTTAACTGTGCGTTTGTGCAAGAAAGAATGTAGCAGTGTCAGTAAATCTGGAATAGTTCTGTGTATCTGTGGTAAAAGTGCAGACAGGTTTTTGTTCCAGACTAAACAGAACGTGGTTCAAAACAGGCCCCTGACTTTTCCTTTTTTAACCTCACGTCTATCCACTCTTCCCCCCATCTCTATAAATGACATTTTCCTTTCCTTTCCTATTTTTTTGTTTTAATTGTCTATTATATTCTCTGCAGACCAGCACACCTGCCCCACAGACAGATTTAAGTGCAAGAACAACCGCTGCATCCCTCTGCGCTGGTTGTGTGACGGGGACAATGATTGTGGGAATGATGAGGATGAATCCAGCACCACCTGCTCGGGTACCCAAACACACTCCCCCCACTACACATTTCTAATACACACTGTTGCCTTTTGCTGTTGACACTGACAGTTTAGTTGTGTATATTAGCTCGTACCTGCCCACCCAATCAGTTCTCGTGTGCAAGCGGGCGTTGCATCCCCATCTCTTGGATGTGCGACCTGGACGATGACTGTGGTGATCGGTCAGATGAATCTGTGTCCTGCGGTTGGTTGACTTATTCTCATGTTACACCTGCTTGTTGAGGTCATTTTGACATGTGAATGTGTAATCTGCCATGTGTTTACCGTGTCCACAGCCTATCCCACCTGCTTCCCCCTCACACAGTTCACCTGCAACAACGGACGCTGCATCAACATTAACTGGCGCTGCGACAACGGTTAGTGTCGGCTCTTTGTGTCTTTGCTCTGATCTTCTTGTTTTTTTGTTACATTTGACTTTGCATGTTGGACCACCAGGCTTTTATTTGTGTTTTGTCATCTTGTGCATTTGTACGTTAGTGCATTTGTTGTCCCGTGTTGTGCTCTTTGCCCACTGTGCTGTCTTTCGTTGGTTCTGTCTTTCAGAAAAGGATTGTGAGGACGGCTCTGATGAGTTGAATTGTCCAAAACTGCCCGGTTAGTGCATAGATCAACATGCACCGCAACAGCCGTGATGCTAGCCAGAGCTTTAGGACTCACCAGAGAGAGTCAGGGCTGCTTTTCTAACCCTACTGACCTCCAAAACTGAGGTCTTTAGGACCTCCACGGAGGTCTAAACTGCTGTTTCTTTACACAAACTTGATTAGTAAAATAATCAATTTTTGTGTGCTTAATTATAACTTTTTTCACTTTGTAAAAATTGATTATAGTATTTTTTTTATTACTATAACACAGATATTGCTATAAGATTTTCTTTACCCCAAACAGTTTGCAAAAATTAGGGAAAAAATGTGCTAAGAGTTACATTTGGCTGCTTTTTAAAGTCAGTATTTGCTCAGAAATGCTAAAGACGCTACACTGCAAAGCTCAATGTATCAGTGCTGGGTACATTTCCTCATGGTGCATGTTTTGATCTATGCAGTTTCTGTCATCATTTTTCATATTTTATCTCATTTGTTTGCACTGTCGTGTTAAATGATGTGTTCACTGTAAAACAAACCAATATCCTACATCTTTCTGCACATTTGCATAAATATTTGCTCCATTTTCAGAAAGGCGGCGCCTTCTAACTTGAGAGGGTGGGTTGCTTCACTGCATTTGTTTTACAGATAACGACTGTGGGGACAACAGCGACGAGGCGGGCTGCAGTCACTCCTGCTCCAGCACTCAGTTTAAATGTAACAGCGGACGCTGCATCCCAGATTACTGGACATGTGATGGAGATAACGACTGTGGGGACTACAGCGATGAGACCCATGCAAACTGCACCAATCAGAGTCAGTGTATTTAGCTGTCGGGGGTCCACACGTCTATTACAGACAATATAAATTCATCTTCAGTGCTGTTTTAATTTTCTATGTATCAGTGAAAAGTAAAAAGTTGAGTTACCTGGTGAAAAAGGACTCCTATTGAGTCTTTTTAATTGACTTTTTCAGTTCTCTGGCTTTGAAGTGAGTTATAAAACTGCTTTTGTTCATGCTTCAAACCTGCAGAATAGACTGCCTAATAATAACTACTGTAGAACGATTCTTCTATGAATTATCTGGTATTATTTTACAATGCATTCAATCAAGAACAGATGTGTCCTAATAATAGCTACCCTTAAAACAAGGATCTGTCAGAATGTACAAAACCTTCTATTGCATAGCTCTGAATTAAACCTAGAATAAAACCCAGAGGCCATGAAATCACCGCAGCTGCAGGAGGGTAATTTATTTTACTTAATTTATCTGTTTTGTAAAAAAAAATTAAAAAAGAACTATTTCCAAATATGATTCAAAACTGTTTTATTCTAGAGCTGAGCATTTTAAACATACCATAAAACAATTAAAATTTGCATTATTTTTAAACTATAAAAGCAATTACAAGAGATATAGTTATGCATGCACTACAGTTCTGTTTTTTCTCTGCTCAAATTTAAAGATGTGAATGATTTAGTATATAAAAAAGAAGCACGCACTGCATTTCACTTTGCTTCCAGTACAACCACGAATATGTCTCCAGAATGTCTCACAAAGTCTGCTGAGGTTTTCAGTTTCCTCGCAGAGGCGTGCGTGCTGCCTTGTTACTTGAATTTTGAACATTTCAAAAATTTGTGCGACAATTTTTAAAATCAAAATAGTGACAAAACCATTGTGAGTGTCTTTAACTCATCTCAAGAATGCAAGCGCTGCAGTTTGACACCTACACGGGAGCTTTCTGACAGAAAACATGAGAGGCTAGAGCCCTGAATGTTCAGGTCTAAAACCTACACGAATGATGAAAAATCATTTCCAAAACACCTGTTCAAAAAGAGTACCGTACTTTCCGCCGTACACGTTGCACTGCCGTTTAAGTCGCATCAGTAATATGTCGCTTCGCCGTATAAGTTGCATCTATTATGCATCACCGCTGACGCGTTGCACTTGTTATGTGTCACCGCTGTCCACCTGGAAATGTGGGCTGGTGTGACAAAAATCTATTGGTTGCCAAACGGCAGCCGCAAGAGCGTGCACGGGAGGACTTTAACAAGATTAACACTTAAAAACAATTATTTTTTTTGCTCGAAATTATAGCAAAGGCATGTCTCAGTTGAACTTTTCTTTAATAAATGCACTTTAATGGTCAAATCAGCTGCATTTTGCCTGGGCGATGCGGTGAAATGCAGCTGATTTGACGTTTGATCCAGAAGTTCCGGAGCAAGACGACGGTGGCTTGGTATGGCAAGCCAAGTCTCTCATTAATAGCCACTTCTACCTATTAATGAGAAACTTGGTTTGCCATATAAGTCGAGGGGCCTCTAGTGGATGAAAATGGTAGTGTTCAATATTTTCCATGTCAGAATTAATGAAATCATCAGATCTCAGCTGAAAATTTTTATAAATATGGGGAAAAAACAGAAATAAGTCGCTTCGCTGTAAAAGTCACAGGGCATGCTAATTTATGCAAAAAGGTGCGACTTATACAGCGATAAATACGGTACTCCAGTAGGTCGAATCTTAAACGTTGGAGCAGCTGCCACAGTGGGCATGTGGACGTGGGTCAATGAAATAATGTGCACAGCCTGGAATGGAGTTTTACAACAAAGACTGGCCATGTAATACGTGGACGTATGGCTTGCTGCCCACTTCTGCAAATAGAATTCAGTAAGACTCTAATGGAAACTTTGCTTTTTTTTTTTCATGTTTCGAGTCGAGTTTGAGTAACTAGTTTAAAGATGGTTGCACAACCCTTAAGAGTTGCAGCAACTTGCTCCAACAACTTGAAGCAGAAACAATGGAAATGATCAGTTAAGGAGGTGGTAAAATATGGTTATTGTTCCCAATCAGCTGTTTCTAAAATCGGAAACATGTATGATCAAAATAAGAAAATAAATTAATTAATTTGAAAAATAGGAAGATGTTCTGACCATCTGGGACTTATTTATTTTTCAACGTAAAACAGCAGAATAAACACACTCCAAGACATGTAATGTCATATTTTGAAGTAAACATTTGAGTTGTTGCATCAGTTTCTACCATCCTTTATTTAATAGATATAATAGATTTGGTTTTATTACACCCTTGATTAAAATCCCAGACAAAGTCGATCACGCTGCACCAACTATTTCCGTCTGATTGAAGGAAATATGCCAGAAAAAAAAAGTTTTGTAATTTGTCAAACATTACCTTCAGTCATGAAAAAAAAAACAATCTCCAGCTGTGATCCTTTTGCACATTTGTGTTTTCTATAAAAACAGCAGCCGAGGAGAGCTGAGTCTCTTGTTGGGAGTGTGTTTCCCTGAAGGCACGATGAATCATCATCACTTTAATAGTTTCTTCAGAAAATGGCAATAAGATTTTCCCACGAAACAATTATTCTCTCAGTTCTGCTTCAAATACGGGCCAGTTTATGACGCATAAAAACGTTTTATTTAAAAAAAATAACAACGACCTGAATCTGAGGTTTGACTCGGTCGTCTGATTCGGTGTGACAGTGTTTAGAAAACACAGCTGTGACAGATGGTTGTTATTATCACAAATGAGTGGTTGCATCTCACCTCTGGGTTTTATTCGTGCATGCTTTTATTGCCAGATGTGACTCAACATTTAAATCAGAGCAAGTGTTTATATTTTTTCAGTTTGTTTACAATCCAATACGGTCATTTTGTCTCTAGTGGTGAGCAATTCATTGGGTACAACCAGTGACACCTTTTAAACATGTCAAGAAACAGAATGAATAAAAGTTCTCAACACGTTATATTGATACAGTAGTCCCTCGTTTATTGTGGGGGTTCGGTTCCAAATCGCCCCAAAATAAGTGAAAATCTGCAAAGTAGCAACGTTATATTTATTTTAGTATTTATATTTTAAGGTTTTAGAAACCCTTCCCATACTCTTGCAATGTTCTAAACTCTTAAACCTACGTCAATATACGTACAGTACTGTAGCTACTAAATTTTACTCACCGGCTCGGCAGAACAGGAGTGGCTCTCGGTTCCGGTCCGACTCGGTTCATTTCTGCAGACATCACCCGCAGCGACAAAGCCCACAATCAATGCTCTAAACTCTTAAACCTACAATACTAATTTTAACAACAAACTTATATGTAGCTACTAAATTTTACTTACCAGCGCATCCCTGCTTATAAGTCCTCGTGGGTCAGCTAGGAGCTCTTGGGTTCCTCGCTGAGTCTGGGGATCCGGCTTTGGTCCGGTTCATTGCAGCTCTTGAGCACCGATGTGTGTTTTTGGGGATGGGGGTGGGGGGGGGGGGGAGCTGACCATTGGTTGGCCGGCGCAGGACTGTAGTTGGTTGATTGAGTCAAAGTCTAGATCAAAAAAGTCCCGATGGGTTACGGAAACAGCACCGGATCTGCGGTGGTGTGCATCCCACTCGGAAGTCCTCATGAGCCAGCTACCAGCTCTCAAGATTCACCAATGGGTCTGGAGGTCTGGTTCTGGTCCGGTTCAGTGGGTTCCGTGCGGCTCTCTGCATCCGCTGGACGCCGAAGTCACTGTAATAAGGGCCAAACTATTTCTGATCAGAACAAAACTTTCCCTCAAGTTTTTCAGCAGAAGGAATTGGGGCTTCTGGGCGGGGCCCTGTTGCCTTTTGGGAAATGTGGTTATTACAAGCAGGGATACAGTGGAGGCTTACTGAGAGAAAACTACAAAATGGCAGCGCCTGTCCAAAGTATTTTATTTTTTCGTTAACTTTTTACTGTACAGTATCTAGTTCGAATAAGAATAAGTGTTTTTATTAATGTTTTTCTTAGTTCTTGACTTAGATCTTACTACTGTTTATTCTTTTACATTTTAACACTTTTGTTGGATGTAACTGGGACCCTGTATACACAATTTCATTCCACCACATGTACCACATGTGTTGGAATGACAAATAAAGAACCTTGAATCTTTGAATCCAGTGGTGTCCCAATCACGTGTGTAATATTAAAGTTAACATTCATGTGTCCTGTACAAATATATATTTGGTACAATATTATACATCAAACCGCAATAGAGCGAGTCCATGAAAGTTGAAACGCAAAGTAGCAAGGGACTACTGTATACTCAAGTTCATGACTGTTTATAATTTAATTTTTTTGTTTATAATTTAGTTTTTTTGGTTTATAATTTAGTTATTTTGCAGAACAGCAGTGGATGGAATGATTCACGGTCAGCTGGTGTGACTGAATCTGTTGTTCAAACTTGTTGCCAGCTAGATTTTTTTCCAAAGAACTAATCACTATTTTTATTATTACTTTTTTGTATTCTGTCACCTTTTCCTTCCCCCTGCAGCCACGCGTCCGCCTGGTGGTTGTCATGCCGATGAGTTCCAGTGTCGAATGGACGGCCACTGCATCCCCCTGCGCTGGCGCTGCGACGGCGACACAGACTGCATGGACATGAGCGACGAGAAGAGCTGCGAGGACGTCACGCACACGTGTGATCCAGCTGTCAAGTTCGGTTGCAGAGACTCAGGTGAGGAGACATGAAGGCATACGAAGCTGTGCAAAAGTTTTGGTCTACTTTTAACTTAATTCTGTTTTTAGCCCAGCATTTGTACCGTCAGCAAATTAAAAGTATCTGAAAGTCTTTAAGAAACAAAACAAAGAAAATCTATCTGACACAGATGAGATGCATCAACCTTCAGCTGACCATCTGCTGAATGGCAACTGTTCAGCTAACCGCTCGTTGGAAAGCACGTTGTTGGTGCTAAAATACATATTTTGGAGTCAAACTGTATTATATTTGCTGATTTTCACAAATTTAACTAAAGACACTGGAACAAATTGTGTAATTGTGACAGGCTGCTGATTGAATGGCGCCTCAAGATGCAAATGAAAATGGATTCTTTGCAAAGTTGTTTTTATGTCAACACAACACATCCTTTTAATTTAGGAGCCTTTTTATGCCTAAATAATTCACTGGTCAGAGTTAAGTGGCTAAACAAACTGAATAACATTGATCACATTACGTTTTTGTTTTTTTTACAAGTATAGCTTCTCTGAAATAAAATGCAAAACAGATGAGTTTTGCTCAGTTCTGTTGGTTAGGTAAACACGTTTGCAGAAAAGTGGAACGTTTCGAAGTCCCCCCGCCTTCTGTCTGCAGCTCGGTGCATCAGTAAAGCCTGGGTTTGTGACGGAGACAGTGACTGTGAGGACAACTCGGATGAGGACAACTGCGATGCTCTGGTGTGTAAGCTCTCCCATCACGTGTGCGCCAGCAACTCCACCATCTGCCTGCCTGCAGAGAAACTCTGCGATGGCACCGATGACTGCCCAGATGGCTCCGACGAGAAACTCTGTGGTAAGAAACAAAAGCACTCAGACTGCACTTCAGAGCAAGGTGAGCGCAGAACAGCAAGCTTCAGCTCTATGTCTTAACTCCTCACCCCCGTCTGTTTTACAGATCTGTGCTCTCTGTACAACGGCGACTGCAGCCACAACTGCACTGTGGCTCCTGGCGAGGGCGTGATCTGCTCCTGTCCGCTGGGCATGGAGCTGGGATCGAACAACAAGACCTGTCAGATCCAGAGCTTCTGCGCCAAGCATCTGAAGTGCAGTCAGCGCTGCGAGCAGGACAAGTTCAGCGTGAAATGCTCCTGTTATGAAGGCTGGGAGCTGGAGACTGACATGGAAAGCTGCAAAAGCATGGGTAAGGCCAAGCTACCTGTGTTGATGATGAAGGTGGAAGGTTTGGTCAGTAAAAACTAAAGAAATTAAAATGTTTAACCACAGTAAAGGAAGTCATTGTGAAGATGAAACTGAAGCTGGAAAGATGCACACTGATATCATGCTGAGCAAAAAAATGAAAGGAGTAAGAGGTTATCTGCTTTAATAGAAGTTTATGAGGAGGAAACAAGAAGTTATTTATGAATAGAATTTTAAACAAAAGAATAACCATAAGAACATCAGCTGTTTTGTTTATTAAAAGTCAGAAAAAGCCGCGTTGTGGGAAGCAGAGACCACTCGGTTGCACTACAACAGCTTTAAATTTTATCATCCACACAAAGACCGTCCAGTAGTTATCTCCCTGCAGCAACTAGCCGAGGAAGAAACGTGAATTTCTGCTGCCGTTCTTCATTTCTGGAGTCGAAGAGACGAGCCAGCAGCTCCCTGTCATTCATCCTGCTGCCCGTCTGGCTGCCTGTTAGCTACAGATAACTCCTGTCTAATTTACTTGGCGTTTTCATTACACGGGATTAGAGCCTCTCAACACGGGCCTCCCTTTCTTATGGGAAAAGTCACCCACTGCAGCGGTACATGGCTGACATGTTTTATATGCTGTGAAGCGGAGTTGTTCTGACGTGTTTTTTCTGAATTTATTTAACCAGGAAACAGGATGAGAGAGAAGATTTTAAGTGTCCTGGAAACAGCAGCACAGATCAAACTCACATTTATGCACCTACTTTATATCCATAGTAATGAAGGAACCAGGGTAACATCACAAACAAAAATTACAGAAAACAATTGTTTTTTTAATATTAATATTTAGCTGTGATTGCAGGGAAAAACAGTGGAACAAATGAGTCATATATTTTGCCAGGTTTGTAAAAAAAAATTGCTTGAACTCTTAATTCAAGCAACTCAAGATTTTTGTGTTTCTGCAGCAGAGTTTAAGGAGAAAAATCAGCAGTTTGAGCTTTAGAGATAAAATGAAGTTACATATACAATTATACAATTTTAAAGGATATAAACCAAAGGGATTAAACCAGGATTATCCATCCATCCATCCATTGTCTTTACCCGCTTCTTCCTTGCTTCCTAGCTATGTAAAAAAAGCATGTTATATAAATAACAATTAGCAGTGGCATAACAAATGTTTTACATCTTGTTGCTGAGGTGGGCTCTTGGGGAAAAAAGAATTTCTTCTTTTTGTCCACAGATCCGTTCAAACCCTTCATAATTTTCTCAAATCGTCACGAGATCCGTCGCATCGACCTGAACAAGGGAGAGTTTAGCGTGTTGGTGCCGGGCCTCAGAAACACCATCGCCCTGGACTTCCATCTCAACCAGAGTTCTCTATATTGGACTGATGTGGTGGAAGATAAGATCTACAGAGGGAAGCTGTCTGAGAACGGAGGTGATTTTTTAAAATGCAAATCAGTGAGATTTCTGCTATTTTATTTTATTTTTTTACATTTGCAGCTTCAGTCATTGTAACAACATCTACAACCGTTTGCATCACATTTGCATTCATTCATTCAACCTTTATTTAAACAGATAAATCACACTGAGCCTTGAAGACTCTTTTACAAGTGAGACCTTTTTGGACAGACAATAAAAAGTGGTGAAAAATGACACACAGGGTTTGGAGACAAAAAAAATTCCTAACACGCTTTTAACCTCTGTTTGAAAGTCAACAGCATGATAATGAAAAAAAAATCCTGCACATTAGCACATAATAACGCCGACATTACATGCGCGTGCGGGGGAACGCAAGGGCAGTACGTCCGCCCTGGAGAAGATCAAGTGTTGTTTGTGAATTATTAATGAATAATTCATAATTAAAACTAGAGAAACTGCATTTCCTGTAAAAATGCAGTGTGAATACTTATTGCAGAAGAACTTGCTGAAAAACAGCTGAACTTAGCTAAAAAAACATGTTGAAATGTAGATGAAATAGAAGAAGCCTAAATTAGCATAAGAAAGCAGAAAGAACAGATATTTGCATAAATAGGTTTAAATAAGCAAAAATATGCATACAAATTAGGAAATTAGCTCAAAAAAGCTGAAATTAGCAACAACAAAAAATGGCTAAAAAGTAGCTGAAAGGAAGAAAGAAGAAAACAACCAGAGTAATGTGGAAAGAGCTGAGATGAGCTAAAAAATGTGGAATTAGCTGGAAAAGCTAAAATTTGCATTAAAAACTGCTAAATAGTAGCCAAAAATAAGAAAAAGCTGAAACTAGCATTATTAGGGTGAAAAGAATATGCTAAAAAAGTATCTGAACAGGTTGAACAAGCTTAAATTAGCAGAAGAAAGCAGAAAGAACGTTTGCCAAATTAGGCTAAAGAAGCAGAAATTAGCACAAAATAGTGGAAATTATTAGGGAAAAGTTGAAATGAGCAAAAAACGGATGAAAAGTAGCTAAAAAAGCAGAAAGAAGTTTAAATTCAGAAGGAAGTGGAGAGAGCACATTTTTTGCTGAATTACGTAGAATTTTTTTAAAATTTGTCCAAAAAATGTGGAATTAGCTGAAAAAAAATCTAAAATTAGCATAAAAATAGCTAAATAGTAGCTGAAATAGTAGAAAAAGCTGAAACATGCAGAAATAAACTGAAAGGAGCTAAACAAGCTGAAATTAGCAGAAAGAAGTTAAGAAGCACAAAAATGTTGTAGTTAGCAGAAAGAATCTGAAAGGATAACAAAACAGCTGAAATTGGCAGAAAAAAGTTTAAACTTGCATAAGACAGCTGAAAAAACCTGAAGCAGAACAAAATGTGAAAGGAGCAGTAAAAGGTTGTAAACAGATCTAAAGATTTAAAGGATGTAAAATGAGCTCAATTAATTTTTTTGTGAGGAAAAAAGTGGCAGAAAAGGCTAAATATTTCAAAAAGCTAAAGATGCACCAATACCAAAAGTCACAGCACCCTTTTCCTGAACGAGCTGAATGTTTTTTGATTCATGATTTGTTGAACCAGCACAAAAATTGCGGAACGAGAAAGATGCTGAAAAACGTACAAAAGAAAAATGGATCACAATAGTGTGAATGCTTCATAAGCGTTCACACAATAGAATTATCTTTATTTGGCCAAGTTGTGCAAACAAGAGGTCTGACTCCAGTTCCAGTTTGCAGTCAATGAGTATAAATGTAAACATGAGCCAAGACATCATTGTTACAAAAAGTGTTCAAACTTTAATGGCCCAAAAACTAAAACACTACTCATTAATGATTGACACTAATTGTCAAAACATTGTGTGAACACTAAGTGTTTTGTGTTTTTTAATGCATTCCGGTTTCAAAATTTCAAATTGTTGTTGTTTTTCTAATTTAAAATAACTTTGTGTTAAAAATTCAGACCCCTCTGGCTCCAATTCAGCCTTTAATTGTAACAGAACCTTTGCAGAAAAGGCGACATGGCATCATAAAGGTCACACCACTCGATCATGTCCTGCAGCTCTGTCAAAGCAGACCTCCCCCCTCCTGAAGCAATAACGCTGATACGTCTCTGTGTGCAAGTCTGTGTAGCCTCTCGCTTTATTTTGTTCCTGCGCTGCCATGTTTTTATGTCTGTGGACTGTAAACAAGTCGGTGTGCTAACATTGTTCCAAACGCAATAATGAATGACTCATCTGAATAATTACTCGTCGCTCTCATTAGGGAGGCAGTTGTAAATTAAAGGGTTAGAACGAGTCTGAGAAACGTGCATTTTCAGTCCCGACACCACACAATTAGTTTGGTTTGTACTGTAGCATCACATCCTCCTTTTCCTCTATAGTTTTATACGTTTTCTCCCCAACAAGGCATCTAAACAGTCCGTAAAGTTACAATTTACAATGCAAGGGTTTGATTACAATTAGGCCACAATCATACAGTTGTATGTCTTCTAATTCATAAAGCTCGGCAGCAGATCAGGACTTCGGGCTACAATACAATCTGAAAAGACATAAGCAAATCCCAGTCTGCACAGCCTCTAACCTTGCAAATTTAAACAGAGTGCAAGTTCAACAAGAGACATCAGCATCCCTGATAACTTTACTTTGTTAATTAGTGTAATTTACTAGGATTAAATCTGTTTTTAAACACTTTTATTTATAAAGATTTTACTTAAAATCTCACCAGTTCTTTTCTCTTATCCTGTGTGTTATTGAAGAAATGGCGTACTGCAGATGAAGAGCCTTATTAGGATCAGGTTAGGCAGTTTTAACAGTTCTGTCTTTTTTCTCTTATGTTTGTAGCTTTGACCAGTTTTGATGTGGTGATCCAGTACGGGCTGGCTACACCCGAGGGCCTGGCAGTGGACTGGATAGCAGGAAATATTTACTGGGTGGAAAGCAACCTGGATCAAATCGAGGTGGCCAAGTTAGACGGCACCATGAGGACCACGCTGCTGGCGGGGGATGTGGAGCACCCTCGAGCCATTGCCCTTGACCCCCGAGATGGGTAAACGACTGCACTGTATTGCTTACTCTATCTCCTGCAAACATATTTACAACAAACTGCTACGCAAAAATATTGTTCTACAGTAATTGTGGTGCAGTATTTTTAATATGGCGTGCTTCTTGTGCATCCCTGCAGGATCCTCTTCTGGACAGACTGGGATGCCAGTTTACCGAGGATTGAAGCTGCATCCATGAGCGGTGAAGGCAGAAAGACTATTCATAAGGAAACTGGCAACGGCGGCTGGCCAAATGGACTCACTGTAGATTATTTGGAGCGGCGCATCCTCTGGATCGATGCCAGGTCAAACAAAGAGGGGAAAAAATCCCCTTCTTATTGTCTTTTAACAATCTATAGAGAAAGTTAACTAAAGGTTGTACATCCTACAGATCCGATGCGATTTATTCAGCCAAGTATGATGGTTCTGGACTGATTGAGGTTCTGAGGGGCCATGAGTACCTCTCCCATCCATTTGCCGTCACCATGTATGGCGGAGAGGTTTACTGGACGGACTGGAGGACCAACACGCTGGCTAAAGCAAACAAGTGGACCGGAGGCAACGTCACTGTGGTCCAGAGAACCAACACCCAACCTTTTGACCTGCAGGTCTACCACCCATCCAGACAGCCACTGGGTAGGAATTCACAAACTCACCATCTGTCCATGAATGAGACTCGCAGATGCATGCAGCGGTACAAAGACGTTACACGAAATATTAATGGATATACATTTTACAAGTTATTTTTCTTTGTTCGTTTCTCCACAGCTCCTAACCCGTGTGCAACAAAAGATGGCAAAGAGCCCTGCTCTCACCTCTGCCTCATCAACTACAACCAGACGTTCTCCTGCGCTTGTCCTCACCTCATGAAGTTGGGCCCTGACAAACGTACATGCTTCGGTGAGTTTGAGCTCATGTGCACGCTGGAAACACACTTTCAGTTTCAGTTTGAGCTCACAAACAGTTTGTTTGTTATTTTTAGGCAAAACTGTTGAAAGCACAGTGTAATCCCAGCAGGGTTTTGTCATTACATCTTTGTTGTGTGTATATCGGGCCTTTTGTTTACTATTTTAACGCAGAAGTTCAGATCTTTTGATTTAGCGCTCTGTGGAAAGGTTATGGGCGATTATCATCTTACCTGTTGTAGATCACTCTTTGAACAACCTCAGCTTAGAGAAACAGAGTTTATTTCAGACCAAATTGATGAGTTCACAGTTAGTCTGAATGAGGCCAAGACAAAGGTGTGTTGTCAGCCTTCTCAATAACGTTCTGAGAAGGAGGCTAACGGCTCAGAGTAGGAGGCTGGAGGTTTTTCCCAACATCAACACATAGATATTCTGTGCGATGAAAATGTTGGTGAACGCAGACAGTTTAAACACTGATCACTGATGAAAATGTCTTACCAGGTCTGCAGCTCTGCCTCACGTTCAAAAATCATCTTATTGTTTTGACACAAACTCATTAAAACTGACTAAACACTAAACACACTAAACTATACCCTAACTATGAAACCCAAACGCGCTAAATATCACAAATCTCTCAAACCTCATGACTCACTCCCGCTCTCACTTTCTTTTTTTGTGCGCCAAACTCCATTCAACTTCCGCGTCTTTTTCTTCTTCTTTTTGCAGTTTTTTTTTGGCATTTGACAAATAACTTTGAGCCTCTGTCATAAAGGAGGGGGGAGGTTATTTATCTGTTCGGCTGGGGTGGGAAGTGAAAGCGGAGGGTGATGGGGGTGTTTTGTCCCCGAGTCTGCTTGTCTATGCTGCTGCCTCTTGCTCTAATGTGCTTCAGATATGACGAGGATTTTCAGAAAAAGATGTGGCGTGAATTATTTTCATAACTCTGGTTTTACTTGGCTATCAACACAATTTAGCGACTGAAATTGGTCATGTGACTGTCACGCTCTGGCACGTCATTTGGCTCCAAAGGGAGAAAAAAATGTCAGTTAGAGTAGGCTGTGAAATCGCTTTATAAATGTTATTGAAAAGGTAGGGTTGCTGTCAACGCAAAATTCATGGCAGTGTAAATCTTTATACACTAATATTTGTACAAATTGCTATGAAGTTCTTTGGTTTTGGCCCTGCTCAGACTAGCCATTAGCTTGTCAGTCTGGTCAGAATTGAACTTTCTCTCCAAACTATGGCTGGTTCAAGACCTATCTGAAACAGGTATGATATTAACTATACATATCCTTTCTACAGTACTAAAATTTAAAGAACCTGAACATTTTCTTTTAAGTTTTTTATGATGCTTTTCAGTACATGGAAAAAGCCTTCACATATAAAGCACCAACAGACCTGTTCATCTCTGTGCTAGTTTCATATTCTCTACAGAAGTCTCTATTATCTTTGGGGTTAACAAAACTGAGGCTGTGTTGCCATTAACACCAGTGAAAACCCCACTCCTCCCATTCAGTACATGGTCATCATAAGTCTTCTGTCTTCATTTCTCCTTCCATGTCTTCCTGTCTTTTATTTTAGCTGCATACAGTTAAACGATGATTGGCTGTTGAGCCCATCGTAGTTGTTTTGTATCCTCACTGATTAAATTTCACCATCATGTCTGAGCAATCGAGTCACTCAGCCACAAAAAGTAACCCAAGTCAAAGATACAATTGGATTCGTTGTGGCAACAAAATCACCAACAGTCATTTATCTTTGTTGCAACAATCAGTTTTCGATTTCTCATGGATTGTGCTGTTGGATTCATCTCTCACTTTGTTTTCCTCCTGATGGATGCATGTCGACATCTCTTCTCCCCTGCAGAATCCCGGCAGTTCCTGCTGTATGCTCGACAGATAGAGATCAGAGGAGTGGACATCGACAACCCGTATTACAACTACATCATCTCCTTCACGGTGCCGGACATCGACAACGTGACCGTGGTGGACTACGATGCTCTAGAGCACCGGATCTACTGGTCCGATGTGCGAACTCAGACCATTAAGAGAGCTTTCATCAACGGTACTGGAGTCGAGACTGTGGTCTCTGCTGGTAAGGAAGCAAAGGATACAGGACAGATAAGGTCTGTCTTGTTTGAAAAATGTTTTGATGGTTTCTAAAGAAGTTTAGAAATGTACTAAAAAATAACACTTTATAGTTAAAACCTATTTTTTGGTTGCTTGTAGTCCTAATAATTTTATGGCCTCCTTTACTCAACAATAATCCATTCTTAACAGAAATACTGCAGCCAAACCACTTTTCCAACAATGCTGTTTGTATGGAGGCTTTAGTACCCAGAATCTGTTCCCAGCTATTTTCTCCTTTTGTTACACTCATCCAACAACCACATGCTTACTTGTTGTTTACTTTTCTTTTTTGCACTATAAAGAAAAAACAAGTTAGCATTAAAAAAATAAGATTTGATCATAACATTCAGTACTTTGGCTTAAGGTTCAAGGTGACTATTGTCATTCGCATCACAAGTGGTACATGAGGTGGAATAAAATTGTGTACTCAAGGTCCCAGTTACACTCAAAAATAGCAAAAATATAAACTATAAAAAAAAACAGTTTACAAGGATTTAAGATATACGCTAAACTGTAATAATATACAATAGTGTATTAAACAGCAACCTGAACATGAGTCTGACGTTAGCAGGTGAGCATGAATGAACACAGCAACATGAAATAGATCAGCAGCAACATGAAATAGATCAGCAGCAACATGATATGATTTTTCACAGTGATTATCCTAATTAGAGTTTCATGAGTCTAACATTGTCAGGGTAAAAGCTGTTCCTCAGTCTAGTGGTTCTACACTTAATGCTCCTCAACCTCCTTCCTAAGGGGATCGGGGCAAAAAAGTGTGTGCTGGGTGAGTGGGGTCCTTCATGATGCAGGTCTTCCTGCATCTGGAGGTGTAGATGTCTGTGATGGTGGGGAGGCTGACTCCAACAGACTTCTGTGCAGCTTTCACCACTCTTTGCAAACACTTAAGTCAAAAATATTTCAGAAGTTACCAGCAATAAATGTAAATCTATTGTCTGTTCGTAAACTACAAACTTAAACACCATATGAATAATAACTTAAAAAAAAAGGTTATACTACAGAATTTATTCCCTATAATGTTTGATTTCAGGAGTCTGGTTGAGATTTTGACTATAAAATCTGTATTCGCTAGTTAACTAGACATCATTAACCTCACGCAGACTCTCACTGGTACATTTTCATCTTTAAATCACTTCTTGGTCTGCTGCCTTCATACATCTCTTCCTTCATGTCTCTGTGTGAGTGCAGCTACAGCGTGCGCTCTCAGGACATTTTTACCTGCAGTGTTCCCTCAGTGAGGACCGAACTTGGCAAAAGGGCCTTCTCCTACTCCGCTCCTGTTTCCTGGAATATCTTGCAAAACGATCTGAAGCTCTTGACCTTGACCTCTCTAAGGGATTTTAAACATCTGCTAAGTTCATGGCATAAAATAATGCAGACATGTTCCTGTTTTTAGTTTCCTACATCACTTTATAATGTAGCTGTTTTTGTTTTACCTGTACCTCAGCTGTTTTCTTTGTTTAATTCAGATCTCTCTTGTAAATGAGTCCTCGAGGCTCAATGTATAACCTGTATAAATAAAGGTTGAATGAATGTTGTTTATGTTTCTTCAGATCTGCCCAACACACACGGCCTGGCAGTGGACTGGGTGTCCAGGAACCTGTTCTGGACCAGTTATGATGCCAATAAAAAGCAGATTAACGTTGCCAGACTGGACGGCTCCTTCAAAAATGCTGTTATCCAGGGCTTGGACAAACCACACTGTCTGGTGCTGCATCCAGTACTAGGGTCAGTCCTACACATATACAGTATATATGTTTATACACACCACACTCATAAATATGCCACATGTAGTGAGACTTTGGACATTGCCTGCACACAGTCTGCTGACAGACACAGGCAAAGTCTGGTTTTCAGTTTTCCCATTGCTTTGCTTGTATTTCTGAGTGTTTTGTCACTCAGGCAGCAGGCTGAATTTTTCTCCTCTTGTGTCATGATTCTTCTCAGCTGCTGCCTTTTTATTTTGAAAGTTTCTGCATTTAAAACAACCCCAGACTGTGTTTTTCTCTCCGTCTCTTTTTCTGCTTTCCTCTCTGTATTTATCTTACATCCTGTCCCCTTCTGGTAACATCAGTTTTTTTCTCCCCCTCCTCTCCTATCTCGTCTCCTGAAACTTCCTGCCCCCCGCCACAATCTCCAAACAGAACCTGGTCTCAGTCTCCTCTCGGCCAAGCAGAGAGATCACAGACAGACCTTCTATATTTATTTGTTTATTTTTGTTCTGCAGGAATGTCTGCACTAGTGAGTATTTCAGATCCGAGAAGAAAAGTTTACACCTTCGTCTCTTTACGGGACTTAGCCCAGAAAAGCAGAGGAATGTTTCCGATCTGAGCTCTGTAGGCGTGAGTGAAAATGAGAAGCAGATGGTAGACCCATACATCAGGGCTGTCTGCTTCTTCTGCCACACAAACACACTTGACCTCAAATAGAGAGGGCGGGGTCATAAAAATGGCAGGATATTCACTTAGTGTGTTTGCACAAAAACCTCAAACGTGAGCATTTAAATGTCTGATTGTCCTTATTTTAAAGACCTGTTAGCAAGTATGTTATAGGGGGCGGCTGTGGACGAGTGGTTAGAGCAGTTGTCCTCCAATAGGAGAGTTGGGGGTTCAATTCCACCTGCAGTAACATGTTGAAGTGTCCCTGGGCAAGACACTGTCCCATTGGTGCGTAAATGCGATAAAGCTTAATCTCTACAGATTCAGAGCTTTGTACAGATCTAGTAGAGTGCTGTATGAATGGGTAAATGAGGACAAAGATTGTGTTGTAAAGTGCTTTGAATATCTTGATTAGATAAAAAAAATACTATATAAGTACAGTCCATTTACAATTTACCATTTATATTGAAGCATGTGGTTGGATTTCACAGGAAGTGGACCATCAGGCAGGACGTACCCTTCAAACAAACAGAAAACAGTCGCACGATGTCACATCGTGGGGGAACAAAAGAACTGTTGCAACAACGAATGAACAAACCTTAGATATGATGAGCTGAAAGGAACCGTGCAGATCATTTGGAGTGTGGTTGTGTTTGGGGAGTGGTGGCGCAGAGGTTAAAGATGGGCCTGTGATTGGAAAGTCGCAGGCTCAACATCAAAATGTGGGTGGAAAAGGTGAAACACCCACACCTGCCTCCACCCTCATTTATCCCACTCTGGGCCTTTGAGCAAGGCTCTTAACTCCCACCATTTGCTCCAAAAAACAGGTCTCTCTTGAATATGAGTACTCATGACTCAATGAGACTACCTGTATAAATAAAGGGTAAATGAAAAATGTTGAAAAGGAAAGAACAAATAATTTCCACTTTCTGCAGCTTTTATTTGTAGCAGCCTGGAGCACTTCTCTGACAAATTAATTGTGCATTTCTAAACTGGTATCAATGTTAAAGTAAAAAAAAAAGTTTTTGTATGAACTGCTGTGAAATTGAAGGTATTAGAGTAATTTTAAGATGGATAAATTACATTTGTTTTGTCCCCACTCTGACAAACCACTAACTTGTACATTTGGTCAAAGTTAAACCTTATTTTTTCAAACTGATAATATTGATGATACAGGTACAAAAAAAAAAACCAATTGTTTGTTGTCATTCATAGATCTTCTTTAAAAGATCAGAACTATTCCTTTAACATCCATCCATCCATTATCTTTTACTCTCTTCTTCCATTTTGGGTCACGGGGTTCCTTTAACATATTATTTAAAAATTAAAACATCTATGCTTGGGAGCATTTGCACTCATTTCTATTCAAATTATGTCCAATATTCTGAGACTAGGATTGACAAAATAAGGAATATTCAAAAAGTTATTTTGGACTGTTGTGCTGTAGTTTCAGGATTTAAAGAAAAAAAGTTATAAACTGGATTAAGTGCAGCACAACTCCAATTTCACAACAGTAGAAAATGTTCCTCATGTCATGAAGTTCTAGTTTAGTCAATAAAAGGCCAACATTATGAAAAGATTTTTGTGAAGTGAGAGCTAATTGTTGGTGGTGAAGTTTGCTCAACAGTGAAGACATGAAGTGCAGAGAGTTCATTTAGTTTTGCTTATGTCCACTGATTATTTGTGTGTACTTCCATCAGGAAGCTGTACTGGACAGATGGGGACAACATCAGCATCGCCAACACAGACGGCACCAACATCAGCCTCCTCTTCAGCAACCAGAAAGGCCCCATTGGTGAGACTCCGACCAATGCAGCGCCTCCTGGTGTCACAGCAGGAGAGCACACTTCTGTACATTTTTCTTTGTTTTGCAGGTCTCTCCATCGACTTTGATGCTGAGCAGCTTTACTGGATCAGCTCTGCAAATGGCACCATTAACCGCTGTAAACTGGACGGCTCTGAGCTGGAGGTGCTCGAAGGGGTCAAGGGCAAACTGATCAAGGCAACGGCTCTCGCCATCATGGGTACGACATGGGAAAATGTTCATTTTTGACCTGTTGTGATTAAACACCATTTTCTACAAATATGTAAATAGTTGATAGTAGTTGATAATAGCTGAATTTAGGAATGTGAGTAAATGTTTCCGTGTCTGATGAACAAAAGTGTCTTCTTAGTGAACGGCGTCACTAAAAGCACCTCGGTGGTGTTGCTCACGTGTCTTAAAGCTGCTGCAAATCCAAATCCTGCTACTTGTAGAGTTTATGGTTTATTTAAACTAGCTCAGTAGATTTTAGACAAAGGTTTTTGTTTTTACAAGTTTATTTTTAGACACGCTCAATTATTTTATCAATATTTATCACAAATGTATTTATATCACTCAGGAATGCTGCGTTGTTTGGTTGAGCTGGTTCACTGATTATGTAATACATTACTTAATTTATTTTTTTTAAGTTTTAGTTAGTTATATCAGGGGTTCTCAAACATTTTGGGTTCAGGAACCCCTTACAGGAGAGAAAAAGTTTTAGGGTCTTCTTTATAACACTCATGTTTATTAAATCATTTTCTTCAATTTGTCTCTTTAATGCAATGGAAATATTTGTGTAATAAATACTTCAGACCTGTTCTTTAATAGTGTTGTTATTGTTATAAATTGTTATACTTTAAAACGGGGTATTTTTCATTCAAGACACACAAAATTAACAATTTTTTTTTATTTCAACTTCCAAAAATTACATTTTTGAGAAAATTAACAGTATCAAAAACCACTTTAAAACTTTACCTATTCACATAATGAACATAAATGTATCGCTACTTCTTCAAATTATTACAGAAAACCTTTTACATCAAACTGAACCAAAACATAATCAGACCAAGTGACTTGGCTTCATTGGTAAACTGATTGATGCCGGAACGCAAATGGTGGGTGGGCCAGAGGGGGGGTCTGGGGGTCCTCTCCCAGAAAATTTTGAATAAAGTAGGTGTGATTTCCTGCATTTTGGTGCTCTATCGCGGTTTTTCAAAATAAGATTGGACATGACACACGGCTGATTGATGAATGAGCCGCACGATCGGCATGGAGTTTTTATTTACAGTAAATTATTTTAAATAATTTAGCACCTGCTGCACATTTGTGCAGCCCTTACTGCAGGATAAACTTCCTGCTGCAGCTAATCAGCTGTTCACCGTGCAGAGTGGAGAAGTGGGCGTGGCCAAGAGCGCTTGCAGGTGGCTGAGAGCAGAGGCGGCAGAGAGCTGAAATCATGACATGCTGTGCTCTTTTAGAGCGTTTA